CAACCCTTAAGCTTCCAACCCTGATATCTTCTTTGTGTATTCGTTGGTAATTATCCGTAGGTGAAAAGCTTGTTTTAAGTAGTGGGCTTTAGTCCATCTCTTTAATTGTGACCTTCAATCGCTAAGCTTCCAACCCTCGTATGTTCTTTGATGTTCTTCAAAAATATGAACTGCAGCTGGTGAATAGGCATCTCAAAGACAAATCAAGAATTAAAAATTTATGGAACAAAACAAGATGTCAAATTTTTTCTATAAAGACAATGACCAGGGCAGTTAGAATTCTCTTAATTGGTCGTCCCCATAGTTCTATTTAATGGATCAGGGTCTTGATTTAGTCTTTCACTAGACTTCTAATTTTATTTTGTCCCTTTTCACATGTAGTCCACTTTTATGATTAATATAATTAAGTCCAAAACTTGTTACTCAAGCTATCAAAGCAACCTAATCATACTAATAAATAAACCCAATCAAGCCAATTTGATTATAAAGGGCCTTTCGAGCTCAATTAAATCTTAAGAAATTATTTAAACCCCAAAACAACGTTCTCAACACAAAAGAAATAGTATCACATCTTCCAAAAATTTGAATTTTTTTTAAATTTTATTTCTTATTGCTATTCAATGCTAATTCTCCCGTTTAACACTAAAAATTAAATTTCAATAATTTGATGATAAAGTCAATAAAAATATTGTTCTCCACCTTAAGTTTTATTTATTCATGCAATGGTAATAAATATTGACTACTCTTTGTACAATGAAAAACAAAATGTCCCATAATGAAAGTAATTAACATCATGTCACATGAAGTGAATAATGCTATATATATGGTTCTAAGCACGTGGTACTCGCGTCCACATCCTATAATCGATGATACATGATTTTAACAAATTGTAGGATGTAGACCCCACTATCACCTAGACTAGTGGTTGAACCAAAACTCGAAATCTTTGGGGACATAATTTAACTAAGGTAAAAAAATTTCAACAAAAAATAAATTAAAGATAAAAGTATAAAATATAAAATTTATATTTCAATTGACAAGCATAATTTATAGCATTTGATTCTATTCAATATTGCGTGTAAAACACACATTAAGATTAGGTGGTTGGTCCATTGACTAGCTGAATTTTTATCTTTAGCATGCAATTGTGAAAGCAAATTGTCATACGTGGTCCGTTTTCTACGGCTAATTATTAATGTCTTGACATAATAGGAGTCTTTTCTTCTTTTGGTGGGATGTAGAGGTTATTATTTTGCTGTTCCAAGTATTATTCATCAAGCCATGGGTAATGCTTTAGTTTTTTCTTTCATTTTTAGGGTTCTATCATGGATTTGGTCGGTCGAGTATTGGATTTCATGACCAAAAATGACTGTTTGGGAAAATATTTTGTTGCATGATTATTAGAAACATATATGGATTTAAAAATCATTAAAGTTGTCTTTCCATTGACCGTAATAAATTGTGATTATTTTTCGAAAAAATTCGAACATCGAATTAAAAAAAAAAAAGAGATCAAAATACAAGAATATAGTAGAAAATGCCCCCACGGGCATGACGCAATGGTAAAACAAGAGTGTTCTCCACGGAGCATTGAAAATTTGAATCCCCGCGACAGTTGAAAGTCAACATTTATGTTGGAATGCAACATTTATGTTGGAAGGCAGATGTCCACGGGAGGAGAACCTCCGAATGTCCGGTCTAAGTGTCTATAAGCTATGACAACATCTGAATTAACTCGAGTGACGAACTAGAGAGGAATGCCGCCACTCCTCAAAATTAGTCGGGCGAAATTTGGACACCCGAGTCATAAAAAAAAAAAAAAAACGTTATGTCCCATAATGAAAGTAATTAACATCATGTTACATGAAATGAATAATGTTATATATATGGTTCTAAGCACGAGGTACTCAGGTCCACATACTATAATCAATGATGCATGATTTTAACAAATTGTAGGATGTAGACCTCAGTATCACTTAAACTAGTGGTAGAACCAAAACTCGAAATCTTTGGGGACATAATTTAACTACGGTAAAAAAATTTCAACAAAAAATAAATTAAAGATAGAACGTATAAAATATAAAATTTATATTTCAAATTTTAGTGGCTCAGCCACCTCCATCCACCACTAACCTAGACAGGTGCAAAGCAAATGTATCATTCATTCATTATTCATAATTTTAACACCATGGAAAAATATTATTTTAAAATTGTGGAAAGCAAATGAAAGCAATCAAAAATGACCATGAATATCATTGGAGAATAGAAGTTGATGTATACTCGAATGATGCATGCATGCATGCTCTACAAGCAAGAAATGACATTCACTTACTTTAACTATAGGACAACTCTCGGAATACGCAATTCATAGAATTCCCTCACTTCCCTTTGCCACTGATGTAGACAGGTGCTAAGCACTATGTTGATTCACTAAATATTATTATTCATTCAATATCCATGCTTAAGGACCATGGAAAGAGATTATTTTGAGATTGTGGAAAGCAAACGAAAGCAATCATTGGTGATCATGAATATCATTTGAAAATAGAAGTTAGCGTATACTCGTATGATGCACACAGGCTATACAAGCAAGAGAAGACTTTCACTTACAGAAACTAGCACAACTCATGGAACATCTAGTTCATAGCATCTGAGGCCTATGTGAGTTAGATACAAGGGGATATAGAGTTATATGTTTGTGCTACGCCCACACATTCCACTTTTGGTATCTCTATATATTCAACATGTATTAGACCATGATCTACCTCAAAAGATGTAACAAGTTATAGTACTCAATAAAGAGACTACTTTTGTATAATACTGATTGCATCGATAGTATGTAGAGTCTAACACGATCAATAAAAATATGATACATTATGTGAGTTTTCAAGTCAATCTAAGATAGGACATGAATGTAACAACATTCAATGTGTCAATTTCTATGACTATATCATGTTCACATTTGAGTTCGCAAAACATTTCAAAACACCGCTAGCGGCTCCTTACAAAGTTTCTCTTTACCTAAAACAAAAAAAAAAAAACGACAACCCAGAATCTATGGTCTTTTACTGAATTTCCAATTGTCAATATTTTACCCCCAAAATTACTTAAGAAACACACAGGAATGGAGTCCAAATGCATGGGCAAACTGGAAAGTTTGTTCAGATGCATAATCTTATTCATCCTCCTCAATCTTAAATTCTTTGAACTATCCTGCCAACATTCACCCAACCCTACCCCACCGGGTCACCCTCACGCCCCAAATCTTGCATATGGTAGGATGAGGCACCCCACGTGGAATCCATAGCATTTTGGCATGTGGGTAACTTGCTAATGGAAGCATGGGCCTTCCCACCACAATCTACGCCTCATTTCAATCCCCATAGCCATATGCTTTTCTTGAATGAGTTGCACAAGTTGTAATAAAAAATATAATTAATTTTAATTAATAGAAGTTTCAATGGAGTTTATCAATTAAGAGAATGAATCCACTGTTTTGTGTAATTGATGTAAGAGCTGTACTAGTATTATCCTTCACTCGGGTGATTTTGCTCGATCATGCTCTCGCCCATTATCCGAGATGGTTGAAAGAAAGATTTCAGCAAATGAAATTCATAAGGAAAAGACCAATTAATTGATTAAAAACGCTATATAGAACCTTTAGTATCTAAGCACTAGTTTACGTGAAAATGAAGCACTAATCTTAAATACGAGGCAGTGAATTCTACAACAGCATAGACTAATGTTTAACAGCATGACGCTACATATCCATATTAATTTTTCGAGGGAAGAACTATTCTTAGTTGATCACAGGTAATTTAAAACGAGAAACTAAAGAAAGAGAAGAAAGAGTTTTTTTTTTGGGCCTCGGATGCTGTATGGATATATTATTTAAATGTAGATGCTCCGACATTTATCCAATTTGCTCTTGGCATGCCCCCTTCATCTATTATAAATAAAATGTTGTATTATTTGTGCAATAATAGAAAGATTAACAGAAGGAAATGCTTAAAAAAGGGTAGATATGTTGCCAAAAATGGTCAATTGTGACGTTTGAACCTGTAATCACCCTGGCAGGAGATCAATTTCATTAGAATACTACTACTTTTAGAATTGTTGAAATTGTAAAATATAACTGGGAAGGTGAGCTAGCTTTGAAGGCGGTGATCAACACTTTGAAAGGAGGAATGGAGCATTGGAGCTGAACTTTATTCCATGGTGGATTTGGGTTTTCAGTGGGTTCACTTGGGATTTCCAATTTTGAGCTTTTAAAGTTGTTTCTGTTTCAGTATTTCAAGATTTCATCTTGAAGCTTGTTCTCTGATTCTGAGCCTCTGCAAGCTAAAGAGAAGGTCAGTATATCTATTTCTCAGCACTTTACTACTAGAAACAAGCTTATTTGTTGATTCATAATTATAATATTAACCTGTCTTTGTTGTTCTGTGTTGGGTAAGTACTAGTCTAATTTTGTAAGTACAACAATCTGTATTGGCATCGTTGTATTTGCAATCCATTTTAAATGCTAATGTTTAGATACTGAGCTTAATGAATTACTCAAAAAGGGATTGCTAATGTGATAATTGTACATTGAATTTATCTATTTGAACCATGGTTTTGAACATGCAATGACTATTCATACATGAGAATAGAAGCCCTTTGCTTGGGATTGATTTAGTAGTTACTTTCATATACAATAACATTATAATCAATTGTGGTCAGGCATTTTCCTCCATTTAAATGGACAGCTAGTGTTGTGTTTATGGGATTTGTATGTTGATAGATGCTGTATTTTAGGAAGAATTGATGTAATTATAACCATAGATTGCATGTTCTTTCATAAGTTCACAGCTCTGTTGTGGAGACACCCACTATTTCTGCTTTCTTTATTTTGAATAGACTGAAATTCTTGGGCACGCTTCCTATATATATTTGTTTCTTGATTATGGATTTATATCTTCACATATTATATTTGCTTACTTTTTCAGATTTGAGAAAAAAAAATGTCTTCATCACGGCCTGGCCAGTCCTCAAGCAATTCAGCAAGATCAAAACATAGTGCTAGGATCATTGCACAAACTTCTCTGGATGCAAAGCTTCATGCAGACTTTGAGGAATCAGGAAGCTCGTATGACTACTCAAGCTCGGTGCGTGGAACAAATGTAGCTGATGGAGAGCAGAGACCAAAGTCTGACAAAGTAACTACAGCTTACCTCCATCAAATTCAAAAAGGGAAGTTCATCCAGCCATTTGGGTGTTTGTTGGCCCTGGACGAGAAAACATTCAAAGTTATTGCCTACAGTGACAATGCTCCCGAAATGCTGACGATGGTCAGTCATGCAGTTCCAAGTGTGGGAGATCATCCGGTTCTTGGAATCGGTGCTGATATAAGAACTATTTTCACTGCTCCAAGTGCGGCAGCATTGCAGAAGGCCTTAGGATTTGGTGAGGTTTCTCTGTTGAACCCCATCTTGGTTCACTGCAAAACCTCTGGGAAACCATTTTATGCTATAATCCACAGGGTAACAGGTAGCTTAATAATTGACTTTGAGCCTGTAAAGCCTTATGAGGTCCCAATGACTGCTGCTGGGGCATTACAGTCTTATAAGCTTGCAGCCAAGGCCATTACTCGCTTGCAATCCTTGCCCAGTGGAAGCATGGAAAGGCTCTGGGACACAATGGTTCAAGAGGTGTTTGAACTAACTGGTTATGATAGGGTGATGATATATAAATTTCACGATGACGATCATGGAGAGGTGGTGTCAGAGATCACAAAGTCTGATCTTGAGCCTTATAAAGGTTTGCATTATCCAGCAACAGATATTCCACAGGCTGCTCGCTTTTTGTTCATGAAGAATAAGGTCCGAATGATTTGTGACTGCAGAGCAAAACATGTGAAAGTGATTCAAGATGAGAAGCTTCAGTTTGATCTGACATTGTGTGGCTCAACGCTTAGAGCTCCACACAGTTGCCATTTACAGTATATGGAAAACATGAATTCGATTGCATCTTTGGTAATGGCAGTTGTAGTCAATGATGGGGATGAAGAAGTTTCTGATTCTGCACAGACACAAAAGAGAAAAAGGCTTTACAGTTTAGTAGTATGCCATAACACAACTCCAAGGTTTGCTCCTTTCCCTCTCCGATATGCCTGTGAATTTCTTGCACAAGTGTTTGCCATCCATGTCAACAAGGAATTGGAATTGGAAAATCAGATTCTTGAGAAGAATATTCTGCGAACTCAGACTATCTTGTGTGACATGCTGATGCGAGATGCACCTTTAGGTATTGTGTCTCAGACTCCCAACATAATGGATCTTGTGAAATGTGATGGGGCTGCTCTATTTTACAAAGACAAGATACACAAGATGGGATTATCACCAACTGACTTCCAGCTTCACGACATAGTGTCATGGCTTACTGACTACCACATGGATTCGACAGGACTCAGTACTGATAGCTTAGATGATGCGGGCTTCCCTGGGGGTCTTGCTCTTGGTCATGCAATCTGTGGGATGGCAGCTGTGAGAATAACTGATAAGGACTGGCTTTTCTGGTTCAGGTCACACACTGCTGCAGAAATCCGATGGGGTGGTGCGAAGCATGAACCAGATGAGAAAGACAATGGTCGAAAGATGCACCCTAGGTCATCATTCAAAGCGTTCCTGGAAGTTGTGAAGACACGAAGTTTACCTTGGAAAGATTATGAGATGGACGCGATCCACTCTTTGCAGCTTATACTTAGAAATGCATTTAAGGACAGGGATGCAGATGCCAAGGATATCCATACGAAACTGAATGACCTCAGAATCGAGGGAATGGAGAAGCTAGAAGCAGTGACAACTGAGATGGTCCGCCTGATTGAAACTGCCACTGTGCCAATATTGGCTGTTGATGTAGATGGGAAGGTCAATGGGTGGAACACAAGGATTGCTGAGTTAACTGGTCTACCTGTCGATGAAGCAATTGGTAGGCATTTACTAACACTGGTGGAAGATTCTTCGGCTGATGCAGTGAATAAGATGTTGGAATTGGCTTTGCAGGGTATGCCTTTTACTAGTCTCTGTGTGTGTGTGTGTGTGTGTGTTTGTGTGAGTATAGACACGCACACATAATGCTTTATTTCATTTTTTTTTCCTTCCACTTGTTGTTTTAGCCATTTTAAGCATGAACCTTATAAATGAATGACAGATACCTTTCTTTTCTTAAACAGGGAAAGAAGAACAAAATGTGCAGTTTGAGATCAAAACACAAGGGTCAAGGAGGGATTCTGGTCCAATCAGCTTAGTTGTGAATGCTTGTGCAAGCAGGGATGTCAGGGAGAATGTTGTGGGGTTATGTTTTATCGCCCAAGATATAACTATCCAGAAGAGTATTATGGACAAGTTCACCCGAATTCAAGGTGATTACAGAGCTATTATACAAAATCCCAACCCATTGATCCCTCCGATATTTGGTACTGATGAATTTGGCTGGTGTACGGAATGGAATTCTGCAATGAAAAAATTGTCAGGCTGGAGTAGAGAGGATGTTATCAATAAAATGATTTTGGGGGAGGTTTTTGGGGCACACAAAGCTTTCTGCCGTCTTAAGAATCAAGAAGCTTTTGTAAATTTTGGTATTGCTCTCAACAAGGTTGTAACATGTCAAGAATCTGAAAAAGTTCCATTTGGTTTTTTGGCAAAGAGCGGGAAGTATGTGGAGTGTCTGCTATGTGTGAGCAAAAAGTTATATGGGGAAGATGCAGTAACTGGTGTATTTTGCTTCCTGCAACTTGCAAGTCAAGAGTTACAACAAGCACTTCATGTTCAACGCCTATCAGAGCAAATTGCAGTTAAGAGATCGAGAGTCTTGGCTTACATAAGACAGCAAGTTAAGAATCCTCTTTCTGGGATTATATTTTCGCGGAAGATGATAGAAGGAACTGACCTGGATGAAGAGCAGAAAAAACTTCTGAGTACTAGTTCTCATTGTCAGCATCAGCTCAAAAAAATTCTTGATGACACAGATCTTGACAGCATCATTAATGGGTAAAGTTTATTTAAAGCTCCAATTAGTTAGTTTTGTGCTACTAAGTCATTAAGCTGGTTTTTTACATGCTTCATCAGCTCTATGCCTTTTTCTGCTATCTGATTACTTGGACAAAATCCTGCAAAATATCGACAATTTAGGTACACATTACACATGTCTAATACTTGAAAAAAAAATCAAAAGTGTGTTTCAGTGGTCGTTCCTTACTATTTTGGCTGAGCTCTACCCATAAAAATTCAAAGTAAAATGAGATTGATGTGTTCATTCAGTGTCTTGGACATGTTTCAAAGTTCTGGAAGATTTACTGATTTGAGTCTCGATTGTTTTTCTGATTCATTGGGCCAAAACTCCCTATACTTTTGTTTGATTATGTAAAGTCCTCATTTTCTGTTAAATCATTTGTCCTCTGAAGGTGCTTGTTATGCATTCAGGTCATTGCGATGAATGAGCTTTTTAAAGTTACCTATATCTCAAAAGTAGATTTTATATATCGATAGGGCATTGCAACCCCTAGATTCTTTTCTTTTATCATCATTTCATGATAACATTTTGTAAACTTAAGCAATTTTTCGCTTACTCTTGTCAGGTACATGGACCTGGAAATGGTGGAATTTAAGTTGCATGATGTATTGATTGCTTCTATTAGCCAAATCGTAATGAAGAGCAATGGGAAGGGTATTATGATAGTTGACAATTTGGACAAAAATCTATCATTCGAAACACTTTATGGAGACAGTCTAAGGCTTCAACAAGTCCTGGCTGATTTCTTGTTAATATCAGTTAATTTTACACAGAGTGGAGGCCAGCTTTGTGTTGCAGCAAACTTAACCAAAGATTCATTAGGTGAATCTGTTCAGCTTGCTCATTTGGTATTCAGGTATGAGCAGAACGTGAACTTACAATTTTTGCAGGTTTTCTAGATTTAGAGGTTTTTCGTAATGCTTAATTTTTCATTCGTCTTATGCAGCTTGTGACATATAATGCATGCATGTACAAGATTGCAAGTATACAAGGCATAAATGGGGGCTCTTGTTCCATTTCCTTGGTTAAAATGCCCCATCCTCATCTGTTTACATTACAATAGCTAAATAAGTTTAGCATTTTCAGATTATTTTGGATCATTAGCACATAGTGAATTTGCCATGCATCTATGATTCATAATCTTGTAGCTACATACATACAAGACTGGTAAGAAAACTCTAAGCACCTCAATTTTTTTGCGGAAATGTAGCCAGCTATCAAACTAAACAACTCAAATGAAATTTTCTAAGGTTAAATGGATTGTGAAGTGAAACTTTATTTCTGTCATTAGGTATATGCATTAATCAATCAGATATTTGATATGGATCAAAGGATATCGAATAATGAGATACTATATCCACATCTGGCAGGTAGACTAATGTGTTGTTTGCTTTTGGCTGGATTACGATAAAAAATGCTAAAATCTACGTTTTGCACAGGATAACACATACAGGCTGTGGAGTNCTTGTGGATTATATATCCTCACTTCTGACGGGCATCCCCAAACGTGCATATGTCGCAAACTTGGTTTCCAACCTTTCAATAGTTCAAATGGCGTCTTTGGGACAGCCTTAGTTGGGGACCATAATCAGTTACAATGCATCTATGATTCATAATCTTGTAGCTACATACATACAAGACTGGTAAGAAAACTCTAAGCACCTCAATTTTTTTGCGGCAATGTAGCCAGCTATCAAACTAAACAACTCAAATGAAATTTTCTAAGGTTAAATGGATAGTGAAGTGAAACTTTATTTCTGTCATTAGGTATATGCATTAATCAATCAAATATTTGATATGGATCAAAGGATATCGAATAATGAGATACTATATCCACATCTGGCAGGTAGACTAATGTGTTGTTTGCTTTTGGCTGGATTACGATAAAAAATGCTAAAATCTACGTTTTGCACAGGATAACACATACAGGCTGTGGAGTACCGGAACAATTGCTAAGCCAAATGTTTGGGAGTGATGCAGAAGCATCCGAGGAGGGCATCAGCCTGCTCATCAGCAGAAAATTAGTAAAGCTTATGAACGGAGATGTCCAGTATTTAAGGGAGGCCGAAAGTTCAACCTTTATCATATCTGTTGAGCTTGCAGTCGCTAATAAACCACGTGCATGAAAGTAATCTTGTGGGTATGGTAAAATTCTCGGCGACATAGGTGAGAATTGAAGTTCTATCTGATGCGATGTTATGCAATGTTCGTTCCTACTGTATGACAAAGTCGTCTTAGTTTTCGTTGTAAATATGCACAACTCTGTTTTTGGCAGACTTTTTTGGAAGAATTAATGGTCCTTCTATCTTTTAATTCTGTGGTATTGCAACTTTATGATCAAACATAAAAAATTTCACACACTATACTTTTTGTTGTGTCGAAAGAATGATGTTCAACATAACAATTTAATTATTTGATTTCTTTATCTGGTTTATAACGATATATAGGTAATGTTTGGCCTTCATTTTTTCAAAACTCATTTTCAACTACATATTTTTCCATAAAATAATTTTACATGTAATTTTAAAACTTTTTCTTATTTTTTAACGACACGTTCTCCAAAAAGTCAATATTTCAAAATACATTTTCCTTCAAAAATGGGGCTTAAATATTTTTTTTAAAGAATCTAAGTTGTAGTTTTTGACATTATTGTCCATTTAAAAGTGTCAAATAAAATTGTTACAAGTTGATTTAGCCCCTGTTAAAATTATAATTCATTTTTCTATCTCTTCTTATCGATCATAAATTTTTCAATAAAATAATATTACACGTAATTTAAAACCTTTTTCTTCTTTTTTTAATCACACATTTTTTGAAAAAACATTATTCCAACAATTAAAATTTCAAATAATGAGGGCCAAAAATGGGCTTAATATCCATTTAAGGTTATTCTACAACTTATGTCTAAGTTTGTGTGTGTGTGTGATGATTTATTTCGGTAAAGGATTTCCATAACTATTGAAGACCTAAAGTTTGATATGTTTGTTTCAAGTCTTTCATAATAAAGCAAAAACATGGGTTTTATGAAGAAATCATGGCTAGCATCAGTGAAAATGTCCATAGCCATTTGCTCCAAATTTTAATTGGAGAAACTATGATTTTTGGTGTGAAGATGAAGACAATATATCTTTGCATATGGTTGAAAATGTCTATTAAGAGCATGAAAATGAAGAAGGGTTATCTAGGGATGGCAACGGTTCGGTTCTAGGTCGGTTCGATCAAAATCATAACTGCACCATCAACTTTTTGGCCATACCATAACCACGTAAGTCGATTCGGTTCGGTTCAGCTTGGTTCGTATCTCGGTTCGGTTTGATTAATAACCACGAAAATAAATTATTTTTTATAAGTCCAAACTCCAACCGTTAAATTGAAAAAAAAAAGTATGAAAAAAAGTCAATAAAAACAAAAACACAATATTAAGCCAATTTAGCAAACAATATTCCAACTTCCAAATGCAAAATTGGAATTTAACAAACAATATTATCAACAAAGGCGAAGACTCTTACTAGCATATGTCAAGAGTCAAAACTCAAAGTTGATTTCTAATAGTAAATAAGAAATGTAATTAGAGTAATAATACAATCATACTTCCAATTGAAGCGAGAGGAGTCGGAATAGAAGGCACCGATCCATGGCATGACCTCTGATTAATTCATGTATCACATATATTATATCAATTCATGTGGATGGTCAAATAATTGGAAACTATTTCCTAGAAGCAATATTAGAATTAACATAAGGGAATTCATAAGCCAGTGCAAACCTCAGATAAATTCAAACAACTAAAAAAACCCAAAAATCACAAAGAAACAACTTCAAATGATTAATAAGTTGAGATAAATTACTTTTAAACACTCTCATAGCAATACAGAAAATCAGTTCGTCATTGCATTTTAGTATCCTATCGGAGTAGGATTACATATTCAACATCAAAACATATTTTTATCAGAATACAAAACCCAATCGTAAGTCTCATGTCTAAATAAAGAAGAAACCACGGACTAAATCAGAACAAAAAAACAAACAAGTAAAAATAAAAAATCACTACATTAACATAAACTCACAAAAAAAAAAATGACAATAATTCAAACTACCCACTATAAGCTAATCTAGATGAACCCAAAGAGATCCAATCTTTCATACTGTTATTGCCATAAACGCACCTTCTGTAGCTAAATCTTCAATACCCAAAAACTAAAAACCCAACAAATGCAAAAATACACCGTAAGAAAAAAAGGGGATCACAACAGATAAAACGTTGACCTGAAACTGATAAATGAGGATAGAGAAAGAAAGATAAAGAATATCTGTGGGAGGTGAACGTCTCTGTTTGTGGCCTGAAGAGGAGAAAGATTACGCAGATGACCATGGCAAGACATCTCAGATCTGATTGCTGAAAAACGAGATTTAGGAAAACTGAAAAAGAACAAAATAGGGTAGAAAAAGTGGAATAGTGTTGTGTAATGTTAATTGGGCCAACATTTTGGGGAAGCCGAAATCCCATTTTTCAAAATTGCTCAATTAATTTTGGGAAAGAATAATGAAAAATCAAATTGACTAATTAATTTTTTTTTAACGGGTATTCAGTTCAGGGCGGGACACCATCGCTAAATATCATACCCGCCCACCGCGAATCGGGTCATTAAAATCAAAATCATAACCACCCCATTGCACTATCGGTTCATTTTTTTTCGCTCCATTCGATTCGAATAACCACGGTTTTCGATTTTAACAGTTTGGATTGCCATCCCTAGGGCTATCAGATATAGGGAAGTAAAAGCTAAAAAAAAAGAGATAGGCAAAGAGACGTTAATGCTCTTTCAATGTTACATTGAGAAGTAGCTACTCCTATCTTTTTAAGAATCATTATGACAACCAAAAAAATGAAGCTAGGGAGATTTTGAAAAAGGAATACAAAGGAAATTTAAAGGTAAGAACCATTAAACTCCAATCTCCAAAAAGAGAATTTGAAGATATATATGAAATGAAGGATAATGAAAGTGTAAAAGAATTATCTTATAGGTTTATTGAAATTGTAATTAAACGAAATCTTAGGGTGAAAAAATTACAGGTGGAAAAATTGTTGAGAAGATTTTAATTAGTTTGCCCGAAAAATTTATCTTCTTGTGGCTATGATTGAAGAAAGTAAAAGACTTTTGAGTTAAAATTTGAGGGGTTGCGAGGTACTTTAAAGTCATCTGAGCAAAGATTGAATCAACGTTCTGAAAATCAATTGAGAGTGTATTTCAATCAAATATCAATGCCAGACCAAGAACATTGAAAACGAACAATTATTGGTGAATCCATAAGTAGATGGAGAAGACTTGGTAGAGGAAGAGAATTTTTTATTTTTTTTTAAAAAAAGATCGAATGAACAAGAGTCTGTGAAAGGATGTAATTGTAAAAAATCTGAGCATTAGAAAAAGGATAATAGGGCTCCTATTACCAGGGGCGGAGCCAGAAAATATATTAGGCTGGATTGAAATTTTTTTTTTCAATGAACTTGTACATTAAAAGATATTTTAAATCACACTATAAAACAAAAACTGGACCCAAAATCGGACAAAATCATGCCCAGCTAACTCATTATGACAAAACCGCGTAAAAGCCACTGAATCGGCCGGTTCAACCGTAAACCGATGAACTAGTCACAGTTTGGTGGTTTTCCTTTTTTTTTTTCTTTTTTTTTTTACTTTTTTTAGTTTAAAAAATTTTAACTTCATGAATGAACCTCATAGATTATAATTCAAAGGCTCATAGAAAACTATTGNTTTTCCAAATGTATGTCTAATTGACTAATTTGATTTTGAATTCAAACTAATGAAATTGTAATATTCACTTTCATCCTTTCATTTATTTAATTTTCAAATTTAACTTAAATCGCACCTGATTTTTAATGTATTGATGTTATATATCATTTTCTATAAGTTTAAAACATTGATCATAATATATTCTAAAAGCAAATTCATGGTGAAAAAAAAAAAAGTAAAATTTGTCGAGTCCAAATATTAATTTTAGCCCAATTAATTTTATCTACAACCCGTGTAAAACTGAAATGATACACAATTAACCAAATATTTAAACCAAATTAACCAAATATTTTTTTAAAAAAAAATTAGTTTTGGGCTGGGGGTAGGACTGGGCTATAGCCCACCCCTCCCTCCGCCCCTGCCTATTACTCAACAAGAAAATTATACTACAAGAAAAGTTGAAGAAGTAACCATATTTTATGCTCGTTTGAGTGGTTGGGAATCAAAGAATGAAGTGTGCTGCTCAAGTTCCTTAAAAATGAAGAATACCAATTATTTCTTGTTATTGGATGTACAAATCACATGATTTTGAACAAAATCTATTTGCATATATAAATGGATATCGGCCCTTTTGTTGTTTCAAATCATGGAAAGGAGATAATATTTGTTGAGCATAATTATTTGCTTGATTAGGAGATACAGAACATGTCTATCATTACAATTGAAAAAGCTAATGATAAAACAATCATTAACGTGGGAACAATTTGGAAAGTCGATGGCGCGGTTTTAGGTAGTGCTTACTTGCATGTTAGGATTTTAGCACACAGTCAATTTGATTGTCATAAGAGTTGAAAGAGTTTAGTCGTCAATTTGATTGTTAATGAATAGTTTTTGCTTAGTTCATAGCAAGTATTTGCAATGCAGTTCCATCATCTCCTTGTAAGAGTGTGTAAGAGTGTGTATTGAGATTTGGGTAGTATGGCATGGAGCATGAAGGGAAAATGTGACCAGCATTAGGGTACATTTTATAAAATGAAAAGGATTTTGCCGTTAGCAATCGTGCTTGATCCTAGGTACAACTTGAATAATGTTGTATATTGCACATTCTATGCTCTATATAATGAGTACAAGGGATAGCACGGCACAAACGGTGGAATTGGTGGGGGTATTCGTAATTCTAACGATGGGAGTGACTTTGACCTGAGATTCTCACGATGGTTGATTGTGCACTTATCATGATGATTGATAAGTGCACATGGACCAATTCAAACTTTTGTGGTTGTTTTGTTCATTGTACTCTACGATGTAGTCTAGTACCTCGTAACAAACATTTTCTATATGATTTAATTTTTCGATGCAAATTTCAAACATCTAATTCAATTTCAACCCTCCCCCACCCAAAAAAAATAAAATGAGGAGAGAAGCAACTTTCATCATTCTAGATGCAGTGTTGCAAATTTCAAAATTCACCAACTGATGAAATTTTAAATAATGATTTATGACTATGAATAGTTGGGAGTTCGGTTCAGGAAATCTATATTTGGCATTACTTATCAAATAGAATTTTAATTTCTTTTTATTCTTTTATTTTTCACTCTTCACAATCGAATCCAGCATAAGCATTGTATGGTACGTGTAGTAGCCGTGATTGTGAAATATATTTGTGAATTAAAATTTATTTTTGTACACAAGAGATTACAAATTCTCACACATTTATTGCAACATTTTCCAGTTCCCAGATAAAAGAAATCAAATTTGCTTTCTTTATTCCTTCACAACAAATCCATGATGCTTCAAATTTATGTGGCAGCTAGAGACAACTAATTCTTTGGTGCAAACCTGGACTTGATTTTCTCAATTTCCTTGGTACCAACTTGGAATGCCTTGGTCAAAACATTGTCTGGCACGGGTGGTGAAGCAGCAAACAATGTGACTGCTATGGACTGAGTTCCAGGTAACTGGCTGTTGAAAGCAGCGATTACTGCAGCCGGAACCTTGCCATCATTCTTCTGGAAGTGGACTAGACCTTTGGGGAATACAAATATTTCACCTTTCTTAATGGACTTGGAGTAGAGGACATTGGCTGTGGTAATGAAACCAACATTCAATTCACCTTCTAGCACAAACACCATTTCGGTGGCACGCGGGTGGGTGTGGGGTGGGTTTAGGCCTCCTGGGGCATAGTCGATCCGGGAGAGGGACACGCCTAGGGTGTTAAGGCCAGGGATTCTTTGGACATTGGCTCCAGTCACCAATGACCCCATTGAATTGTTGGTGGCTCCTGGATTGGCAAGCCCCGCGGAGAAGAAGTCCTCAGCTGTCACGTTTGACTTGCAAGCAAATCCATTCACCTTCACAGCTATTCATTGATACGAATGAAATTTCAGCTAGAGATATGTCAAAATAACAATGCATATATAAGGAAATTTTTTTACATACAAATTAGGCTGCATAAGAACTTGGGAAAATGCATAAGGAAATTTATGTGGCACACATAGGTGTCATTAATGATATTCATCGCTAATCAAGTTGATCGTTTGTCTATGTTGGAGTAAGACAATTGTCACATTATTCAATGTAGTTGAGATACATTCATATTCATTAGACAATCGTGATCACACTATCACATAGACGGATGTTCATCTAGATTAGAGATTAATAATATTATTATTTAGTTTACTTATCATTTAATGTCACATTAACTATATAGCATTACTTTTCAAACAAGCTAGAAAACTAGCTACACGAGAAAAGTATAATTAATCCAATGGAGCAAGAAAAAGTGTAAAAAAATAAAAATAAAGATAATCCAAAATTGACATATATACAGAAACAATATCAGTTATTATATGAGTATAGAAGATCTTATTCTTGCAAGAAATTTCAACGAAATAATCGAACAATGACTTTCTACAATATATACGAAAGTGAAAAATTTTGTAATTAAATAAATGAATGATGCTACATGTACACCATGCTTGTACACTCCCCTCATATAGAGGGGGCCCACAAATATTTTATACATGGTGGGCCCCCTCACATGCAAGGGTTTGTACACCATGCTGTACAATCATCATTATTCTAAAGGAATACATACCAGAAGAGAGATCAGCAACACAAAGATCTTGAAGCATGTCTGGATCAGCAGACACACTGATTAAGACTGTGAAAGCCATCATTCCTAATAGAACTCTACCAAAAGCAGCCATCCACGTCTTCTAATATACATAAATAATATGACTGGAAAGGGAGCAATGATAAGCAAATTACAGGAGGAGAGAAAAGTAGGGTTATTTATAATGGGGAAATGAAAGACCTTAGGTGAGATTTCAAATGTTTGTGCATACGTTCGTGTGTGCGTAAGAGAGAGAGAGAGAGAATATTTGCAAAACTGCACGAAACATGCCTTCTTAGACCCAAAGTGAAGGGAAGAGGATGAGTGGAGGACTTTGGAAGGGGACCCACTATTCTTTGACTATTATTAACCTTTTTTTAATCTTCTCCAAGTATACAAGATTTGTCATACAATATTTCCTTGACTAATCCACTACCCCCTCATCCTTTGGAAACGACGTTGTATGGGGTGTTTAATGGATATTATTGAGAAAATAATGTATTTTTAATAGTAATATGATGTGAAATATGTGGCTAAAAAGTAATGAAAAGTTATTAATGTGATGGAAAATATTATTTTATTGAAAAATGTGTGGTTGATAATGAGTTTTGAAATAATGTATTTTGAAAGAATGTGCGTCAAACAGGGACTAAACTACTTTTGATTTTCATAGATTCTAAGATTTGTGAACTTGTAAGCATTTTTATAGATCAAATATGGCTAAAAATTCATATGGTTGCCTATCAATTGCTAGCTACGACTTTCTGGTGAAAATACAATGTATAAGACCAAATTAAGCACGTTGTAATCAATAGCATTTGTGTGGAACAATGCTATATTCGTGTGTGGCGCCACCAACATTGTCATAAGGAATAGAGTCCGACTACAGTGATAGTTATGATTTTGACAATGTGTGAGGTGGCACTCATTTTTGTTATTGACTACAACAATACTTAAAATAATCAATGATACGGATCTTTATATCTCACAATGTCAACATTAATGTACGCTTTGAATGTACAAATAGCATATTCCTAAGGAATAACTAATTCAAAGATTTTAGCCAACTCGGATGTTGACATATGCTTTGTGAAGCGCTAAGGTAATGTTCAAATCTAAATCCAAAGCAAGCCCTTAGGAATAGCTGGGAATATTTTGTAGTTTTTTAACAACTTTAGGGCAAAAAAATAAATCTCTATATTTTACATGGACTGTCGGAGCAAATAAAGGAATTTATTTTATTTCACCCCAAACTCCGTAGTGAATTCTGTAAATAGGTTGAGGATTTTACGTTTTAAAAGGGAGGATTGACTCCCCACTCATAAGGGTACCCCCCTCTCCCCGTCCCCCGTGTAGGTGCGTGCCCCCTAACTAATAGGGAGTCAACCACCTCCAAAAAGGGCCTGACTCCCCAACCCCATATTAGGGGGTTGAACTATTAGCTAGGGAATTGACCCCACTGTGTGGGTAGCGGTGCGATGCAGATGGTAACGCGCACAGCTTTATGTAAAGTGCTCGAAATCGAGATCATTGAAAGACTTTGGACTTTCAACTTGATAAAATTTCCAATATTTTAACCTTCCATCCATATATTCGATATGTTAGTTCATGTATTCGATATGTTAGTTCCAATATTTTAACCTTCCATCCATATAGACTCCATTTGGATATTTTGTTTCATTCCGAAGCTTCGTATTTGGGATCTATAACCCCAATAGACTTCATCTAGATATTTTTTGACCCTAAATATTATATTAGTAGTTTATTGATTGGGGTTCAAGAGAATGAATGAATTATACAAAATATGGAAGACGGGAAATCGAGCATGCTAGGATAGGAAAGGAGAGACGTTAAGTGAACAATGAAAAATAATAAAATTTATATTATAATGTTATCTTATTTAATTAAGTAAGATGAAATCTTGAACCATCTCCAAAAGTGACACATTGTCATTTAGTTCTTCAAGTTCCACATGTGATTACGAGCACGTGTTAGCAGCATGAATTGTTGCCTCCTTTCAAGGGCGAATCTAGGACCGGATTACAGGACGGGTTAATACGTTAAAAAAAAAATTACATAAGAAATTATTTTTTCTACTAAAAAAATTTAAATGGGCTGGAGGCTGGATTGGGCTACAGCTCCTCTATGAGAATTTGTATTCTTCGTCCTCTGAAATTATATGTTTGTTGATAGTTCCCTTCATTACTTGATGAATTTTAGAAGTTTATTAAATTTAAGAAACGTAGGTAATTACCGGTTAATTAATTATCCACTAACAGTCTAATAATTTCCCATGTCTCTCACTGCATCCCACTCTAATTATTCATCAAAACTCTAGGCGTCCTACACCCCATATTGGCACACTGTAAACAACAAATTAAGTCCAATACATTCCATGAGCATGGGGACATGTCAAATATGTGGGCAGGACTGAACAAAATACTAAGATACAGTTGACCAAAAGAGATAAAAGTTAAATTTTTAAAAAGAAAATCTAGGTGTCTTTCTTCGATACATTATAATGCCTCGGCAAATTATTGATGAAATAGGGTTGGGGTTTTAAAATTATTTCTACAAATAGAAGACCAATACGCGCCGAATATGGTTTACTATTATTTGAAATTTTAAGTTTGGTGTTTGTGTTGCGGGTTTCGGTCTTCGAGATGATTTTTAATGGTGGTGATGGCTTTTTGTGTTTTTATGGTGATATGTGATGGTTCTAAAACGGGGTGGTAGTGATGATGGTTTTTGATTGTGATGGTGGTGGTGGTGGAGGTGAAGGTGGAGGTGGAGATCGAGGGTGGTGTTGGCAATAGTTGCATAAACAAGCAGTGGTGGTGGTGGTGCAATGATGACGGAAATGATGGCGGTGTAACATTACGTGTTACCAATTGTGACGACGATGATAGCAAGGACATCGTTAAATAGTATTTTTCGAGTGGTGGTGATTTTGGCAATGACGTGGAAGTGGTAGCAGTGTAACATTACATTTTACAAATGGTTGTGACAACAACGATAGCAATGGCAGCATTACACGGTATTTTTAGAGTGACGGTGACTATGAATATAGTGGTGTAATACTGAATATTACAAGTAGTGATGATGATGATGATAGTGGAAATAAGCAACCAAACGTGTAATAGTTTGTAGTGTGTAATACGTTGTATTAAAAATTGTAATTTAGAAAAAAAAAAAATGGGTTGGATTGTGTTTCTTAGAGTGTGTTTGGTAGGAATTTTTGGGGGAAGAATTGATTTTTGAATAGTGATATGATGGGAAATGTGTGGTTGAAAAAGAAGAAAAAAGTATTGATGTGATGGAAAATATTATTTTATTGAAGAATGTGTGGTTGAAAATGAGAA